GGGGGTGAAATTGGACCGGTAAGTACTGATCAAACATGCGTGCCGGAGGGGGATGAAATTGAACAGATAAGTACTGGTCAGACAAAGGTCAGACATGCGTGCCAAGGGGAGGGGATGAAATTGAACTGATAAGTTATGATCAAACACGCGTGCCAGGGGGGGGGGGGGGGAGTATCACTCTCCAGTGACTTTAATATAATAGATCAGCTGCGTCTATAATCCTATGGAGTGAATTTTTCAAATTTTTGTAAAATTTCCCGTCGACTGGTATAACTATTGTGGTCGCTTATATCTCGTGTTTAAAACGACCTGAAACTCATTAGAAGCAGTGTGGGAAACTATATCTTTACGTAGAAGAAGCTTGATAGTAGAACTAGTAGACAATTCCCATTATAGACTAATTTTAAAATTAGGCAAGGAAACTCAAATAAATTACCACAGCTAGAAAGAGCATACTAAAATTAGTAAAATAACAAAATTTGGTAGCGAAATGTTGTAAAATGAGGAAAATATAACCTTGCAAAGTTCGCAAATTTTGTATACTTTTGTATTGCTTGCGGAAATTCCTACCACATTTAGGCCGAAAGTGGTCGCACGCAATACAAAAGTATACAAAATTTGCAAACTTTGCAAGGCTATATTTTCCACATTTTACAACATTTCGCTACCAAATTTTGTAATTTTACTCATTTTAGTATGCTCTTTCTAGCTGTGGTGATTTATTTGCATCTCCTTGCCAAGTTTTAAAATTAGTCTATAATGGGAATTGTCTATTGAAACACGTAACCATTTGATTCCAGGTAAGGAATGTGACAGATTTAAAAATCTCTCATGATTATAAATATTCTGGCTTCAAAATCGATTCCCTGAATCCAAAATGTTGCTCTATCCAGTCATCGTTTTTTGAGATCAGTGTATTGTTCATCTCTTCTACAGCTAGAATATGGCTTTCCCTTGACCTACAATTGGAAGGTACAAGCATTTCAACCGAGTAAAAAGACAATAGTCGAGAGAAAGACGCTGGTGCCGACATTGTTCACAACATTCAAAGTCCCTGGCGCGTAAGTATTACGTATAAGCCCCAAAAAACGTATAAGCCCCCCCCCCAAAAAAAAAAAATGTGGGTTTCTGGTTTCCCAACCCTACCTAGCTTTTGGACGCCGAAATCCCGACCCTAAACCTTTTTATTGGATCATGCTTGTAAGTGTAGAGGCAATATTTGGGAAATTTATCGTTGACCTTGATGATATATATGGCAGCCTAGACCTAAGTCCTTTACTCGGCTGGCTTTGGCAGGTTTGGCACATCATACCAGCGCATATTTTAAACGTTCACAGTGGGGGTCGAAAGCAAGATTAGGGCCCAATGTGGACTCCCCAGAATAAGATTTAGGTCACTCAGGGTACGGTTAGGGCCCAGTCTGAATCACTAACTAGTTGTTCCTGCAGGGCCCCCCCCCCCCCCCAGTATATATAAAGCTTCAGTGGCACACTCGCACATTCTCGCTACGGACTCATGTGGAAAGAGTCAGTCAAAGCTCTGCCAAAAGTCGTGGGTTTTCTCCGGGTGCTCTAGTTTCCTCCCACAGGGAAAGTTGACAGGGTGGGTTAGGATAAACACAGTTAGGAAAGTAAAATCACAATTGTTGTGAACATGAATAGTCTAGGCTAAGTTGTCTAGGCTAAGTTGTCTAGGCTAACAGTTCACTGAGGCTAACTCTATAGTGTGAACGAG